TTTTGTTTAACGTTCATATAGGTACAAATGCATCTATAAGGGCCAATAAGGTGCATTGAGACGTGATGAATTTACAGTAAATTAGTGGAGTTGAAATAGTAATAGATAATAAACGCGTTATTTGATGGTAGAGGTATTCTCTCAGAGGATTAAATAACCGTCACGGACGAAAATAGAACAACTACATTATAYAGTTTACTGGAGAGGTGAACAAACACTACTCTCTAAACCATTAAGTTTAATAGATATACGAGTATACGACAAAAGTGTCCCAATTTCAATGACTGCCCASCGCCCACTTTATTCCTTTTATACATATATACACCATCGTCTAAAGTCTGTATACCAAAATGAACCAAATCTAATAATTCACAATCACACAATGCGACCAAAACAGATAAAGATGATACGATTTAAATTTTAAACGTACATTTATTTAAAACAAAAGGTTATTGCCCATGTGAATAATACACACTTCATATTTAGTACAATACAGACAATACAGAAAAAAATTTTACAATCGTACATTTAAAATATACTAACATAATAAGAATATTGTAAATTTGTAAATATAGTTAATATATTAATTATTGTTTATATATATAAACAGATATTCAACCTCATATTACAAAATTATGTGTACCTACTACCTACTTGATAAAAGGTTAAACGATAAACTAATTTTGGAAATAGATGACTAAAATAGACATAAATARATATTGGGAATTAAGTTTTTTAACTTTTTAAGAATACTATTAGAAGAGACAGAAGAGTGATGAGGGCCATGAGGGGTTTACTTATAGTAGATAGCTCAGAAAGACAATTTAATAGTGAGGAATATAATTTAGRTTTGGAGTTTTTGATGAAGTTACTATAACTGGAGCTAGAGGAGTGAAGRAATAGGAAGATTGGATAGYACCTCTGAACTTGGCCGTTTGGGCCTCCGAGCAGTGCTCACATTTTACTGGACTACTATTTCATMAATCACCTTTACACAATCTTCGGAAATATGGTTTTCATCTCATTTGATTAATCTGGATTCATGATTGCAATTATTTTATATACGTCTAGGTGATTGACAGTCAGACATTGGGGG